ATCCGACCCAGAATCCATTTCACCTCTTGAGCGGAATATCTGCGACGAATGATTCTTTGTCCTCCGTCAACAGGGCGGAATGGGCTTTTATCTGCCGCCTGAGGAGTTCCCCAACTCTATGTTGATAGATCTGGAGAAAATTGTCGTTACACGCTGAGAAAATCATTTTTCCCCGACTCAGATTTCAGAACCCATCATCAGCTTGCCGTAATACCATACCTGGATAACATCGTAAATCGTGGTGCTGACTTGTGTACCGCAATGGAATCGCCCTCGACTGATTGCGGTATAGAGCTCGTCCAGAGAGTTGACCTGAGATCAAGAAACATTCCCATTTACTCTTACCACTGATGTGTATTCGCTGTATTTCATTCCGATGTTCCTGCTCGAGACGTTCAACTTTTACTCACTTCTGTCTCAAACACTGGCATCGACAGAAGCGAAAATAGGCACGTGTTGTAGTAATTCGTAAGCCAGAAGACGTGCAAGGCATAAAATAGGAGGAATAGCCTGTATGACAAACGAGAGAATTCCTTGAAGCCGCCGCTACCTGAAAAGAATTTCCGACGATAACCGATGTGAAATTAGCGCGACAAGTGAGAAGCTTATGTACACTGAGACGAAACCAGAGTGCGAAAGTGACGTGGAGACCGCAAGCGTCATGAATCATGAATAACAATGGTTCGTCTTCGTTTCAAAAACTGGTAGTTGCCGCAATTCTAATGGATTGCCCCCAGCATGAAAGCCCTCTTGTTTAAGCGTCACGGGTATCACGTTTTTCTCGGGTATAACCCACCTTGTCTGGCCAATAGAGCCAAAAGAAGCCACGACCCAGGCAGCGCTCCACGAGAAACTGTCGGACCCTAGACACGAAAGTTCCGTTAAGCTATGAATGTCTTCTCATTCTATTGAATGGCCGCGTCTACGGTCCTGCAGTTCCGCCGAGCTTTCCTCACCTTAAACAGCTTGATAACGATACAGTTGATGAGAACACTCGAGACTATCAATACCCATGTTGCGCCATCGAACGGCCACAGCATCGAGGTGTAGGATTCCATCCTTCGAGGGGCTGGGTAAGCGTAGGTTATGACGTCATTCAGATAAGGCCACGAAAATTTGACCGCCCCCAATCGCGAGAAGGACATCCCTAATTCGGACAGACTCAGATCTTTCTCCTGAGGAAGAGTAGGGTTAACGGGTTGGGAATCGCTCCATGACACCGGAATCTCTCACCTATCGGTATGAGTTCTGACGGGAGTACCTGGAGTCACACGGAACTCGGGCCGAGAACAAACCTTATTATACACCCAACCGATGAGACCGACCCAATTTTTTCGGCCGTTTTTCTCTGCCACCGAACCATAGCGCGAATCCGGCTCAGGGTAAAGAACGTACCTGCGAAAGGAGATTCTCAATGCTTTTCTCGAGATGCATCGATTCTAGGGAGGTCCGCTCGACCTCAGTCTCCGAAGGGAGGCGAATTATAAGGATTTGATCAACAAATTATAATTATAATCAACAAACTATTAACAAACTATAAGGATCTGAATGGCGGAGCCTCACGTGAAATTGAGCAATCCAGATAGCATCCTCAGTAAATTGAATTCAGTGCCCTTCTCCGCTAGGAGTTCCCCCGTGAAATCGTTTCTCCGCACGACGAAACTCGGTGTACTCTGCGAAAGCACTCCAGCTTCAATAAATCGATATCTCATTATGCCCCCCTTCAGCTTTGGCGTGCCACGCTCACATTTATGTATCCGACGTGTAGTGTCAAGCCGTTCAATGAGGGGATAAACACGTAACGATTCGCGGCGTCGCGTCTGACAAATCCACATCCGACGCAGGCGGTTTCGAAATCAGTCTCTGACATGGCATACCTCACTCTGTCTCGTCCTGCAATCGAGACCTAGACAGACATTCAGACTCCGGTACTAAGACGTCGATCATCCGTGTTTTTCTCGCAAAGGAAACACGTCACTAAGCGATCACCTCGTGCGAGAACAGTTCTTTGACATCGTCGGCGCTGCTCGTTCCAGAAATCAATAAGGTTTGACAACATTCCGCGGGAATCGGTGTTGCGAAAGGAACTTCGTTCGTCCGAGGATTGATGAAGTCGAACTGGTACTGACAAATGAAGTCGACTTTCCTATGCAATGGACCCTGAAAATAGATGAGCGGGGGCTTCCTGGGAGGAGTCTGATTCGAAAGGTCCCCGAGCTCATCACTCCGAGTGTTCATATCCAGTTCCGTATCCCTGTGCAATCGCTCACATAGTTGATTGAAATCAGGGTTCGGACGCTCCTGAAGCTCAAATTGAAAGCTATGACTTTGTAGGATGGCGAGAAATCGTTCATGGGATAAGTGAGAGTCTCCGTTTCGTGGTCCCAAAGATGAATACGCAGAGCACACCTCGACGCTGACATCAGATCTGAAAACGAACGAATTCAACGAGCGGAATCGAACGCGCAAAGGAGCTTTAGCGGTATCGGTTCGTTTCGGGGAGACCGGAGAGGTATGTGAAGAGGACTCGGGCGGAAGTAAACTCACATTCAATTCCGGAGGAGTTGTCACCTACGATCAGGATGTAGTCGGACTTGCTGCCGCAGAAGTCTCGGACGAAATCGGAAATTCCGGAGTACTTATGCTTACTCGAGTAGCACGTCCTCGCAGCAACCATGAGTACAAGCGCCGCGCACCACATCGCTGGGAACTTATTCCGAATACTCACTCCAGAGCAAATCAACATGTTCATCGGTAGAAAATGAAGTTAGCAACACTGGGGCTGTATCAACCCTGAATCTTCCGCAGGCGGATCACGAACGCATGCATGGATCATTCCGGGATCCCCCACCATGAACGATCGCTTATCGATCACGTCGAAGACAGCGAAATGAATTGCTGCAACCGATCCTTCGGAAACTTCAGCTCACTACGGTTAACTTACACGGATGAAATTATTTAAGCGAGTTCAGGATGAGCGGAACCTGTTGTCTCACAAAAATATCCGAGAGCGAGGAAACAGTCCCCAGAGCTGCTCCGCATCCGGTGTGCATTCTGGCGTTGATTGTCCCCGAGAGGAGACCAAGCGTCCGCCTGACCTTGGAAATGTTTGCAGCTCTTCTGTGTCAAACCTCGTCGATTTTCACCCATAGTGTCGGTTTCCATTTAATCTGCCTTTCTTCATCCGCGCCGAACAGATGTCTGGGAGTATGGCATCGCGTATTCCCATCGCGAAATATTACGCGCTGGTTTCTGTGGACACTAGTCAGAGGCTAACCTCGATTCCTTGATCTCCTGAGTACATCTGGCGAGGTTCTCTACGGAGCTTCCTCGCGCAGTTGGCGCCGCCTGCTGCGCCTCCGACTACAGTCACGAGCAATGACGGAAAGGGTGCGATCGGGTGTCTACCCATTCGAAGATCGATCGCACTCCTTTCAACGAGTGCAAATGAAATTACACAGTCAGAGTAGGTCCGCCCCGATCATCGCTCGTGGGAGCTAGATTAAGCTGGAATTATCTCCCATCGGATCGGCCGAGTCTTCATTCTGGAACAAAGTGTCCCCAGCCGATCACATCAAAAGCCGTGCTATTCGCAGCCGAGGGGTCGATTTCCCCGACCTTGAGGCGTTTTCCGTTCTATTCGTGATAGTGTAGTATGTCAACGGCGGTGATCGGGATGAGCTTGAGGCCGATGTCCGAGTTTCGGGGGTCCGACACAGTGTGACTCAGCGGCAAATGAGCCGCTAGAAAGCTCTTCCTCACCGTCTGCCATCAAGATTCCCAGGCCTTCCCCGTGCTTGTGCACTACAGCGGAAGGTCTTCAAAATGACGGCCATCACAACCTGTTGTCAGTGCATCGAACAATTTTTCATCGTCCCGTGGCTGGACCTCATAGACATACAGGAGGGAAATAATAATCGTTGCAGCGAGCAGTCATTGGAACGGATGAAGTTTTCCAACTTTGTTGCGACTAGATCCTACCTGGGACGGGGGATCTTATGAAAACAGAACGGGAGCGAAACTCTATTCCCGGAATGGGCATGGGGCTTCAGTCCATGACGAAACGATCAAGCTTGTCCCTGTAGGGATGTAACTTTGGCTGATTAGGAATGTCTGTCGAGTGTCTCGAGAGAGCTGTTTCGAGATGCTACCAATCTATGTATTCAAGCGATACGTTCCACGAATCCTAATTGATCGGGGTAGTCCCTGAGCCGTGAGTATCTCGCCCTGTGTTTCGATTTTCATGTCTTTCCTGGGGCGCTGTAGCGATCCTTTCGGCTTTCCTTTTGCTTAATCCCTTGAAACGATTCGTCGGAGCGAGCCTCACTGTCCGGTATTCGCGGCCGCCACACTCCCTGAAAGCGCCGATGTCCGAGAATGATCAGCTGGAATCCATGAAAACCTTCGTTTCCTCTCGAGTTGTGGGCCGGATGCTGACCGCTTGAATGAGTTCCGGTGAGAGAAAAAAGATCGAGTCCCGTTGCCGCATCGTGTACGGAACGAACAAGCTAAATGCTTTTCTAATCGTCTAGTGCTGCTTTGAGGTATTGACGGCCTGAAGTACTCGAGAAGGTCGACGGAGTGCTTATCACAAACATAAGGAAGATAGCTAATTCTTATAGTCTTGAAGGTTGTACAAACGACTACCGAAAGCGATTACTCAATGGATCCTCATACGATCGGCGCGGGAATGGTTGTGACAATCATGCTGCCTCCGTCCCGCCGCTGGCCCGATCATACCGAGCGAATCGCTGATCAGATTCCCCCTCGAGCGCTAAGTGTTGCCACAGATCTCGTAGCAGACGGACTGAATCCATTCCCTCTCGCTCGTTCACCGTATCCCTACCATGAGCGAGGCACGAGTAGTACCACCCGCCAGGAGGGATAGCCGCGGGGACAGAGCGGCCGACAGACAGACAAGCATCCATCCGACCTCCGTGCGCATGCGTTCACCCGATGGGGGCTCTCAACTCGCTCGTTTTCCTTCACACTCTCCAAGCAGAGATCGCGGACCAAGCACAACTCTTAGCACACACTCGTTCGGAGTACTGCGAGCACGCCGTGTTTTGCTCCCGCACTACACGGATTCTCGGGCGAAGGTGTTTGAAGTTTCATCGACGCTGTGCGCGGTTCGACGGCCGACTAGTGAGTGAGTGAGATGAGGAATCAAATGTTGTGTAGACGGCCGACAGAGTGAAACCCCGGAATGGGAGCTCTCCCATAGGATCTCAGAAAGAGCAGCCAGGTATCAGGTGCATCTGACGCGTGCTTCTCTCTCGAGTGAGTGGTGAAAAATGCCGACGTTCTCTCAGAACCTCTCAAGTAATACTTTCTGCATACTTTCCGATCTTTAATTCATCTGCGAAGTGGGACGCGGAATTCAGCCGCTGCGACCCGTGTCGACGGGTCGTGCCGCTTCCACCGGAATCGAGTTTCGAATGCACGGTACACGGGCTTCGTCAGCGCGGAATTCTGCGCTTTCTCCTCCGCGTCCTCATTAGGAGTCATGTCTCGACGGCAATCTCAGCGTCGCCGCCGAGCTTCGCCACCCATTTTAGGAATCAATGTTTTGCTGGCTGGAATTCGATTGGGAAAAAGCTTGACAGGTCGTTTCCACTCTCGATTCTATCATGGGTTTCCGAGTGCGGGAACCGATTTCGGTCGAGCCGGCATCATAATCGGATCAACGAGCTGACGATAACGAGCTGTGGATCGGTCATAACTCAGCATAAGCGTTTCTGTAAGCCGACGGGCACAGAATCGGACAAAATTGAGCCTCGTGCGAGTACATGAATCCGCAGACATGTCCGGTGCTAGAACGCGGATCGAACGAAAATCAGACAGGACTTCCTGTCTGAATCATATGTGCCTTCAAGACTCCTCCGGCTTATTTACGATGTTATGTCGCTTGTCACGGGTAATTGGCGATCATGTCGTCATTGCCATCGGTGGCGCAGAGCTCGCTTGCGCTTCTCCTCGCGGGGCGATTTGTTCAGGCAACCCATGACTCATTCCAGGGAAGGAAACTCAAACAAAGATAACTCCCTCGACGAGCTTCGGAGCTCTGAATTTGGAGCGCATATGAATGAAGCTCATATGAATAAACGGTGAATAAGTGCTGCAGCTGCAACGACCGTCGCTTATTCGCTGCTTCAAACTGCATCTGGAAGTGTTCCAGTAATGAAATGTCTGCTCGGCGCGAAGTCCCTGACAGCTGCCAGACGGGAGAAATTCTTGGCGATGGTGTCGAGACCGGCGAATTCGAGAAATTAAGTTTTGCGCGCGCATTTGCTGTCCGTGCTAGGGGATTCAACTACCACATCTGCTGTGCTGTGGATCCGGGGATTGCTCATATCTGATCCGGCTGACGACGAAAGATGGGTTTGCCCCATGGTCGTGAGTCACCATCACGATTCGTGACCTGTTCGCCCACCAGGAGTGACTAAGTCTCGTCAGATATCGCTCTCGTTTTGCCTCTCGGCGGGAGGAAGGGAGGGGGGAGTGTTGGTAACTCACAACACGGAGACGAACCGAGCGGGAAGCGAAGTTCGGTCAGCATAGATTCTGATCGATGGGGCGAGTCGGTGTCAACATTTGCTTCTTGAGATCATTTCGAACTCCACCTGGAGCGGATATTCTTCCCCAAGTGTCAGCTGCAGATGAACCCATGAATTCTTACCGTGCACAACGGGATCTCGATTATGCTATCAGCCGCGGTCGGTATACCAGGAATCGCTCTTTATGGTTCATCCCCAGCCTGAGCCACATTCAGCCTTGCGAATTTCCCAGGACGTACCTCGGGGAAGGAGTCAGAGCCCGTCGTGAGACTTACATTTTCGTCCATCCGTCGGATGCTACGATTGGACAACCTACAAAGGAACTTACGCTACGAGGAGTTTCGCAGGAAATCCGAAGGATTCCTCAAGTTTGCCCCAAGCCTTTCGATGACTTTTCCCAACTGAATTCACAGGTCGGAACTTTCCGTTTCAGGAGCAATGAAAACCTTGGACACATTCTGAAACTATGAGCGAGCTCAAAATCACAATCGAGGGAAGCGTGCGCGTCAGAGAGAACAAGCGATGGAAAAGCCGTTATTGCTCGGTGACCAAGGCATCACCCGTCGCTAACTCGCTGCAAATCCATCTTTCGAAGGAGCAGAAGAACGGTCAGACCAATGTTGACAGAAGGTCTACGGCTAAAGGGACGACGATATGCCTCGAGAACTTCCTGGGAGTACAGAGCGGCTTCCTCTTGGATAAAGAGCCGCACACATTGGCCATCTTCTGCCAAGATACATGCGTCGTCCTAGCCATGGAAAATCGAGAGACTGCGGCGCTATGGGAAGCGCGGCTGCGTCTCTCAATGCCAGAGGTAAGAAGCGCGCTATGAGGGGAAATGGAAGCACCCATTCGACTGACTCCCCCTCGATTGGCTTCGGGATGGATCTCTCTACGTTTCATTTTGGCCCCCGGTGATCTATCGCTCGGGCTTCTCAAGACTGGACGTCTGTTGGGGCGGATTCCATCCCCTCGAATTTCGAAGTTCTGAATAATGATTCGAATCACAGGACCATGCATCCGATCCCATTCGATGGAGGCCTAAGCAGGCGCGCGCGCACGGGCCCTTCCCGAGCTGCCAGTCGGCTCGCGTGTCGGTTGAGACCGATCAGCTATTCATCAATTCTCTTTGTGGGAATTATTTTTGAAGCATCTCGAAATGAACGATCGCTTCTATCCCGATGCGGAGCTCATCGCGGGGTTAGGGGCGCGCCTAGACGCAGTCAAGGCCAAAATGAAGTTCCGTGAACCCAACTTTTGAATCCTCAGGTCGGAAACAGTCACCCGGCAGAGCTAGTACACCGGAAATACATGAAGTGACACAAACGCTTTTCCCCGCAGGTTTGCCACTTCGACGCCCAGTTGGTCAAAGTTCCTGCCGGTGGGAAAGGGGCCTTGGGACCATGCCGCATTCACATTCAGGACCACCAGTTCTGCATCACGCATCAGACTGCGCACGGACCTCAAGTTCTCCACTCCTGGAAGATTCAGGAGCTTCGGCGTTACGGCAAGCTTGAAGAGAATCTCTATGGGTTTGAGGGCGGATCCCGGTCAGGGAAGGGCGAGGGTGCTCATGTCCTCATGCTCGACGACGTTGCCGGTTTAGGTGAGTAGATCCGGATGTGAATATCTCGAGTTTTTCTCGACGTCGCTCCCATTGATGATTTGTCTTCGTCTCGTTGCTTGTGGAGGACCGTCACGTCGCGTAGAGGATACGCAGAATCGGGTTCTGCTTCGACAGCGTAATGACACTCACTCAGTCTAATTTGCGACGATGTTGGCCGATGTTCCGTGTCTCCTCGCGAAAGGAGACACCCCGATCGTTTGTTCCAATAAATCAAGCTGACGGCGCTTCCCAACAGATCATTTGACTACCCCGACGACGTTGCTGCCCTCTCCTGGGGCCGAACGAGAGCTGAACGGGTCTCATCGGACGGGTTTCTCTGCTGCTTGATGGGATGAACTATTGCGAGCAAGAAAGAACGCTAAAGCGTTAACTATATCATTTGCAGAAGCGACGTTCCACGTCGCGTCTCAGGGCTTCCTCAATCGACAGAAGAAAAGTGTGTACAATGCTCTCATGGCGGACTTGGTTGGATTGAGGGAAAGATTCACATCAGCGAATTCCACGAGCTCGTCAACCCTCGCCGGTGAGTTTCGGTTCATGTATCTTCTTTGGAGCTTGAAGCCGTTGATTTTCATCGTGGTTCTAGGATGAATGGCTCTATGCGCCGAGCACGACGTAAAACTTCGGACGTGATCCGATTCTTCCCCTTCATTTCAGGTTCCGTCTCTTCGCTCTACGGCGGATCAACGTTGCGTCGAAAGCATAACTGCCAATGTCAATGTGCGGACGCGGTGTCGCTCAAACCGCCATCCGAATACGACCCGTCCGGCTCCACAACGCCAGCCCCACAACCGGCAGCCCTTCCCCAAGACGTGGCGGATACAGCCGCTGAAACCTCCGCTGCAAGCTCCGCAAAACTCTGTGATCGTTCTTCACTCTGTTCCGAGAGTTCGGTAAGTCGCTAGAAATTCGGCAGCGGGTTGTTTCCGGTGGAGCTCTCCGGCGCTATTCGGCCCTGAATTCCCGGCTCATTTTGTTCCTCTCGGAAGTTCGTAACTGAGAGTCTGTTTCTTTTCGTAGGGAACCGGAAGCTGTGGGGGTAGCGTGGGCCTTCGCTCAGATGAGAGTTCGGACTACGACGTTCCGAAGAACATGTCGTCAAGTTTAGTCGAGCCGTCGTCCTGTTACGATCAGCCAAAGAACCTCCAGGCCGTCGTGAATGCCCTGCGATGTCCATGTCAGCCACAAACTGTAGAACCCTTGCTGGACTACGACGTTCCTGCACAAATCTGTAGCAATTACGATACACCGAAAACCTTCTCTGAATCTCTACGACCGCAAGCATTTCGCGGACCCATGCTAGAATACGACACCATCAAAGCAATTACTTCTGCGGGCGTCGGCGGCACTATGGACGCCAAAAGCCGTCTGCTCCACTCGCAGAAGGAGAACAGCGACGTGAACGCTGAGCTCGAAATGACCACGCGAAAACAATTGATCGAGGAAATCTGCCAGGGACGTCCGCACCTGGCTCACCACCAAGCCCTGACTTTTGGCTCGGCCTTTCTTCCGAATAGTCGTCTTCTCGCAGAGGCTCCGCTGCCAGACAGCAGTCACCCGAGCCTCGACTTCATAAGTTCGCAGTTTGTAGATAGCCTCTCCCTGTATCCTCTCGAAGACCCTCCGCAGGGAGGACTCCCAGGTCCTGCGCCGAGTTTCGTTTAAGTTTCGCGCTCACCGTGGTACGGCTTCATGATTCATCATCGCAGCGTAAAGAAAAAAAACTCCCCAACATTAAGTGCAATCTCAATTGTATACTCGATTCCACGCGGCGAGCGTGACTGGACAACCGGCTTTGAGTCACGAAGATCTCCCTCGTTCAGGCCGTGCTTGATTTCCAGAGGGGAAGAACATCGCGGAAGGGGAACTGATCTGCTTATAGAGATTGGTCGAGACGCTGATGAACTTCTTTATCCTCCCGGCTTTGGAGCTCCAGGCCGAAGTTTGGGATCAAAGAGGATATACCTAAGTACGTGCCGGCGGAATTCGCACTGCTCCGAAGTGTAAATGGTATTTATGACGGAACGAATGGATGAGTGATCATTATCAGCCCCTGCATCTTATGTGAATAAAAACCCTGAGATATCGATATCACGCATCGGAGGAAAATCGGCGACGATCATCTTAGTTGGTTGAATAAAGTTGTGCAATTCTTTGAAAGAAAACTCCGCCTGAATATTTATTGAGACTTTCATTCGTGCTTCGGGCGACTTACAGAGCTGATGGGTGATTGAAGCTGCTAATAAACTTCCCTGAATCGACAGCTCCTCCCAACTCTACTACGCGAATGATTTCGATGACTGACTGACTGACTGACTCAATACTTATCTTGAGACACAGTAAGATAGTTGACTTCAATCAACTTCGAACCAGCAATCGTTCTGCTTCCGACTGCGCCGCGCACCGCTCTGTCGTCGGTTTGGGATGGTTCACTGAGCTCCGAAAATGCATCCCTTTCCACTTATGAATGCTCATCATGTCAGCTTTCCCATTCAGGTGGTCTTGCTGGACCTCCTCGACGGAACGGATTGATTGCGATCTTTTTTCTGGTCCGATCGTATAGGGAGGTCGGAGCAGGAGAGGCCATTGCCACCGTGGAAGATCTGGAAGGTGGTCCATCAAGGTGGTCGTCTAGGTACTCTAGGTGGTCCTCCTCTACGAGAACGAAGCAGATGACCACCGGTGTCGATCTGAGATCGCAGCTTCTTCTGTCGTTGACGGCACTACCAGCGAAACTCTGTCTTTCAATGTATACGCGGCGACACTATCAGCGTGTCGAACTCAGCGTTCCGAGCTGGGATTCTGGAATTCTTCCTCTGATGTATCGGGCAACGAGTTATCGCACTACTTCGTAAGAGTTTTGCAGCCCAACGTGGAAGCTTGCGAAATTAGAAGCTTCGCGCCTATCGAGAATTACGGGACATATTACACGTAGACTGAATGAGGAACGAGGAGTGTCTGATTCCCAGATGGTCTCCGGAGTTATTAGAAGCGAAACGCTGAATGCTCACCAAATTCGACAACGAGCAGGGTAGTAGCGTCACCGGAACGACTAGTTCGAGCTTGAAGACCATTTGCCACTTCACGGCCGCGTCACCTAAGCGAGGGGCACCCTTCGATGCCGGTGGTCTCTTTCTTCGGCTTCTGGGTGGTCTACGCAAAGATCGCCGCTCTTAAACGCCAATGAGTCACTGGGCCGAGCGGGTGGCTCAGAGTTCTGTTTTTCGAAAGGATTATCTAGAAGCTCCGCTAGGACTCTGCCGCGATTATTCACCCCTCGATCTACCGTAGAAACATTGCCCGAGAAATCTTTATGGAACGGAAGTTCCCAATCGAGAAAAACGTTAGTGAAAGCTCTCAAACGCATGCGTTCAAACAGAATATTTTCCGAAGAGGATCCAATGAGACCACCCGCGAAAAGAAAATGGGAGGTCCCGTGCTATCTTCTGAATGATGTCGCTTGAGTTTGCTGCTGCTGCTGCTGCGGCTGCTGGTGGTCTCTCTGACGGTATGACTGGACTATTGGACGAAAGGAAGTCTGTGTGGTCGTGGCCACCGCGTTGATCTGCAACCGTAGCGTAGTGATCGTTAAGCAATAAATTCAATGCCGACTTTCAGAATTAGAGCACGTAAAAAGTCAGCAAACGTTTAGTACGTGAACTTCGGGTGCAGTTCCCAAATCATGTACGAAAGGCCATCCTGTACGGAGCGAGATGTCTGTGCTACGCGGGTTCCAAGTCGGGTCCTTTATCGTTCGGACATAGAACCGAGTTTTCCGGGGCAAGATTGAGAAAATTATTCGTCCACCAAAATCGAGAATGCGAAAACTATTTTCCTTACCGCCCGATCATATCTGTGTGCGCCATTGATTGAGGAAGATCTGTCAAGGCCTAAGTTTTCCGACTGAGCTATGCTGTGTTCCGCTCGGTATGCAGAAGTCGAGTGACAATGATGAGTGTTCCATTCGCAAGGTGGAGCTTTGTGCTCAGTCCCAAGCGAGCCCTCTCCTCGGATAAAGGCCCTATATTAACAATTCGCTTTTCGCGGGCTCCCCTCTAAAAGCACAGAGCCGAAAGGAAGATCTGATCTCAATATCAGGCCAGGTTTCCTGGTCAACCCATTCTCACTTTATTATTCGAAACCTTTAAGCGATCTTGGGGAAGTCTATGACGTATATTTACACAGCTAGTTATTCAATGACTTATTGTGGTATCACAAGGTTAGGCTAGACTAACTGGCTGCCGACTTCCTTCAAGGGGTCTTTGCGAAGAGCCTCGGCATCGCCAGTGGTGGTGCGGTTCGATTCGCGGTCGAAGTTGGCACTTTTTTCAAGCGATCGTGTCGTATGGAGGTGGGTCCTGTTCCTGTCGCAAACGGACGTAGTAGGCGTGCACGACTATGAAGAAGAACATCTCGATGAAGAGGATGAGACATTTGACGGCTATTTTGGTCAAAGCGTCGATTTTGCCCTGGAAACGCAAGGTGATTTCATTCAACCGGGAAATCGCTCGGCATTGCTGGTTCTCTGGACATCTCCCTGTGGTTCCGCTCCGCAGACAGTACATTCTCATTGACTCAGTTTACTGACCTCAGCTCCTTGAGCAGTGATCGCCAAGGTCTCGATGACACATGATTTGAAAAGAAAAGCCACGCCGAGACCTGTACAGAGGAGCCATGCAAAAACAAAACGGCCTTCCTCTTTGATCGTGCCATGTAGCAGGCATACGCTCAAAACCGCGCCGATGACTCCCTGCACAACCTGCATCACGGACACGGAAAGCGCCCCTGGAAATTGATGGACCGACCAGTGAGATCTTGAAACTCGCTCATCGGAAGGCGAACCAAAGCATTTCTCGAGCGGCCGTGGCGGCCAATTCTCACGTTGCTCATTATTTAGCCAACAAATAGAATCATTCGTGAGTTTAAATCCGGATATTACATGAATCTTGAGGCGAACCGGTGGGATTCGCAGCATCGTAGATAACGAACGTTGAGAACAATACCGCTTCAAAAACGTAGAGCCCCTGAGAAATGAGAATGTTATTAGAATAATCGGATGCCATCATTTTTGCCGAGAAAACGAGATCTTCATTTTCCGTTCAGGATCCCATAACGGTGGGATGAGGTGAGACATCAGCGATCGCTCGACCGTTCTTCCAGCAGGCTAGTCATATGTATCTATCACACTCCGCTCGACTGAGACCACTCACAATGCTCAAGATTCCGATGCACAGCACTGCATTTTGGAGCGTACACGATTGCCGGACACGGTGTAGGTTGACGGAAATTGTGAACCTCTTTCGCGAAGGTGGCATAACTGTAGGTAGAGTTCCGACCGGACTAGTGGCTCCAGTTTCCGAAGTCATGTCCGGTTCATCTATCAAAATGAATCGACGACCGGTTAGATGAAACGCGGAATCGAAACTTGACTGTTTCTATTCCCGAACAGGATTTGAGTGGGGCTTCTCGCGCTAAACGAGCCGCCCTCAGCTCATGTCGAGCGGCCGGTGAGTGGAGAAGATCTGCGTCTTTTCCGGCTATTGAGGAGTAAAATCAGTTTCGTCACGAGTACGGAAGGCTATCGGAGGATGCGGACACCTACACAACTTGTGAAGAAACCTCAAACACTTTTCGTTGCAGCCCTGTAGCACAAAATGCGAACACTCTTCTCGTCTCGTGAGGACTCCGACACTTCAAGCATGCCGTTACTTCGTTCCGTTCGGTGGGACTCGGTACCGCCATCACTGCCGTTGGAAAGTGGAGTCGGTCGCCGGCGGTAAGGGACGCCGATCTGTGTCAGTGGTACACTTGCCAGCTCAGACCATCTGTTCAGTAGCTGCTGCGAGAGCCGAAGGGGTCAGGAAGCTTTGATCAGAAGTCTTTGATTATTCAACGAGGGGTCCCTTCATTTCTCCGTTCTCTTCGGCGCTAGTGACAAACAATGCCTGTTTCAACATCGGAATCGATTCCGAAGCGGATTCACCAGCAATGGAGGTTCAGAAAGGGTCAGGAGGGAGGCGAAGGTCAGCTGATGATCGGTTCCGAGATTCGGAGCAGTTTCTCTAAATGTGGATCGACTCTCTCATCAATGCTTCTGAATAGCTCGTTCTGGTCGACAGCCGCGCTTTCTGGAGAGAGCGAGCCGCTCATCTGTGGAACCAAGCCGGCTCCGATTCTGAGGAGGATCTGGATAGACAACAAATCATTGACCGGTGGCTCTGTAGGGAACATAGCACTTGAAGCTCGCGCTTATGCCCGGAGATCGAGCTTGGGAAACAAGTTTCGCCTCGCTCAGGGGGCTAGAAATCCTTTCCTGAGCACCACTCGCTAGCGGGCACACCCATGTCACTCGTGAAGTGTTCCGGATGCGTTCACCGAGTCATTCATTTAGCGACCGCACCGCTCCGACTAGAAACTTGTACTGATTTGCCTGTGTGGCGAAATCCATAGCGTAAGTTGTAGCGCACACTTACAACGCTGGCCACCGATGGACTGGGACGCGTGTTTTCGCCGTCGCAGAAAATGACCTTACGCCGTAATTGAGGTGATTGTAGTTTCCTTTGCAGTGGTGAGGATACCTTCACCTTGTAACGAAGTTTCACCATCCGATCAATGAGCGCGTTGTTGAGTGACACGAGGGGGATGCGTCGACAGTTTTTCTCACGCCAACAGCTCGTCCGAAAAGAAGTAGGATCTCGCTCAGCCGAGCCGAGGAGCCCCGACGAACTCATGACCTGTCCCTTATCCTTCAGTTCTATTCGCTCCCGTTCAGAGTATGGGGACAGAAATTCAAGGCAAGCGATGAATTCCCCTTCAGTTTTGTGTCTTTGCAAAGAACTGGACTGACTGTCTGCCTCATGACACGAGTCATTGAATCTCCCTGAACTCGGTCTACATTAACATCGGTTTAGAAAGGGAGGTTTTTTGATCACTGAAAGCCGAGGGGGAGCGCGACAAACCATGGCGCATCGTCATGAGGGTTTTTCTTGAGCAGAAGTTCTCGAGTTTATTGTTTCAATAGTGATAGGTTGGAAAATGAATATTCACACATAACTCTGGAGCGAAATTTACAAAATGCAATAACAACATCGATCTAACTTGCAATGTGTACATTGCGTCTTTTCTACATTTGTCTTCTGCCTAGGGTTCCCTGATGATGGACCGAGAGAATCACACGGGAAATCGCATTCGTTTTCGAGTATCGAATCGACAGATCCCGAGGTATGAGGTTTAATAGGCTAGAGGATCCACGACGAAGATCTGCGGCTGTTTCCTATGGGCGTCGGTCAGCGATTTCGTTGTTCTTAAACTCGCTCCCGATTGAGCCGGTCCACCGTAGAGGTTGTCCGGCTTCAGCCGGGAGTCAGATCTTTTCCGAAACGAATCTTAACCTCAGAAAAAAGATCCGGTGAATCTCTTCAAGTTCCATCGAAAACTCTTCGGGCTCTCAGTCTTCGTATTACGACACCATGTCTTCTTTCTGAACTTCTCCGAACTTCCGGTCCTTCGACGGCTGGTCTCGAGGTAGAACTACAATGCCTTTGATCAGTTTCATTCTAAGCACAATCGCTCCCGACTTCGATTCTCTGATTTTTTTTTGCAAGAGCATGCGGAAGCAGGCGATCCCGAATAATCTCGGGAAAACCTTCAGATCTAACCCACTAGGTGCTCTATGCCGTTGCTTCTTCTGGGCGGTTCCCGATCGACCGCGAAGTCTGTTCCGGGAACTCTTCCCATCTCAAAGATACTGTCCGACTGCGCAGGTTGACTTCGATGTTGCGAAAACGCCCTGAGTTCTTCACAACCAACAGTCCTGAGCACTTTTCTATCAGCGCCAGCGGAACCATGCGTTATTGGCAATTATCGTCCGGACAAGCGATGTTTCGAGTGAATTGATTGTTCCTCGGACTCAAAACTTGTAAAAGATTCCACAACAAATCAGTCCGACTTCGTATTCGAGTGAAACCAATGAGCCCACCGTCGCGTTTCCGTCAGCCATCAATTCGCACAGAGTCATGAGGTTAATTGTAGTCGCAATATTCCAAATGAAGACGAGCTTCCTGTTTGCAAGGGATACACCGCGCAGAATACGTTCGCTCATCTACCGACCGACCGCTGGCAACTCGACGAGAATGACACGCCGCAATGCGCGGTCTATCTTAGTACTGCTCGAAATATCGATCGACGTCACGGAGTTGACGTGAAACGCGACAGGGCCGTCCACGCATATAGATAGGTGGATTCGGTAGATCTGTATCAATGATATCAACCTAACACTATCGGCTGGTAAAGTCGCCGAACTGTAATGCTCATTAGAATGTCTTCTGAGTGTACAATTTGAACGAGTGTTTCGAGCAGGCCTTAGATGCCTACGGACTGCGTCCATGAGTTCCGTTGTATCACTTTATAGCGAGTTGTTTCAGCTTACACTCATTGATTCCGCAGCGGAGTTTGACCAGCCGGCGTACCCACTCTTCCTGAGAGGTCATCTGCTGACCCGGTTGCATAACTAAACGTGGGTAGCCGGCCGCCGCTCCTGAGGACGTCGACGTCGCCACCGGATGCACATTGGAGACGTTAATCGAACGGAAATCCAGAGGTGGCTCAAGCATTTGACCGCTTTGAATAGGGTAGTTCGGCGTAGGACTTCCGTGGCTTGCGTAAGGTACGTGGTCGCTGTTGGAGAATGAAAGAATCGAACTTCACTCCGGAGTCTCAAATTCCCTCACACGCTTCCCGCCGTCTTTTCGACTCATATATAGCATTTCGGACATGAGCTCTCATCAAATCTATCAGAACTCGACCCGGGCAAGATCTTCCAAAATCTTTTTTACGCCCTCTCAGCAGATATCTGTCGAATCCGGATCTGGTAACCTACCCTGGGATCGGATCCTCCAGCACTTCTTTGACGGCCTTGAGCGCGATTTCGGTATGTCGCTGCCTCAATTGATCAACTCTCTCACTAATCCTGAGCAGATCGTCGTGTGATACCCTGGCTTGATGCTCCTGTTTGGTCGTTGGCAGTGTAGAATAAGCATTGATCATAGGCGAAACACTGTAATCGAAAGTGAGCACCTCTCAGTCGCCTAATCTTTGAATATCCGCGGAATTCCAATCAGCCTGATTCATGAAAGATTGGGAGCGCTGTTGATGCCTCGAGATGTTGAATTTTCGCTCAACCTCGAGTGATAAGATTGAATATGTACCAATATAACCTATGAATAGAAGTAAATACTCACGAATTTGAGGAAGAGAACGATTTTCTATTGCGAGGTTTGGGAGTTGAAGCCCCCATCGAGACATCCGTTTGGCAACCTCCGTCTTGACGACCCAGGGAGTAAATCAGAGAGCTCTTGGGTAACTCCGACTGGGGCGAAAATTTTATCCGCTCACGAATGAACTGATACTTTCGAACCTCATTTTTGAGCTTGTTCAATTCGGCCATTAGCTGCTTCTTCTGCAGCACGAGCTCCTGGAGCGAAGAAGATGGTCAAGCCTCCGTACGCTATGGCTTATTTGCAGCATAAAGCTTCCAACCCGATGTGGCGGGCGTGGCTTCCAGAACTCTATGAGGTCGAAAGCATGCATTCGAAAGGAGCATCCGGACTTGTTTCGAGATATGATTTTCTCCTCGTCGGCTATGTTTTCGACCGACGGCATTTCGCGATCCTCCTCCGCGCTCAGCCGATGCCGAGCGGATAATAATCGGAGCATGCTTCGAAAATATCCGCAAGAAAAATCTCACCTTCACAACGTAGGCCTCTTCGCGAATCTTCACAGTCGAACTTTGATTCTCAGATATTAGCACGGCTTGTTTTTTTCTTGAGGTCCTTGATTTAGGCCCGACGGACAAGATCTGCTCTTGCTTTTGTGTGGAGTTGGTTTCCGTCGAAGGGACATGTGAAAAACACTATCCGATTCTTTGGCCGACGTGGCCGTCGACAAGGGTGGTACGTCGTCCAGCGAAGACATCTTGTTCGGATAGAGAAATATCATCCATCAGAAAGCCATTTTTCGAGGCATGCTCTCGACACACATTCGGTATACATATACTGACGGGGACCGAATCCAGCTCACCAGTGATGTCCCACTGTCCTCGGAATTTCGCTGCTGACGTTGACTCGTAGCTTTCGTGATCATTTTGAAACGCTCTTGTTTCACGAGCATTTTGTAGTAGGTGTCCAACGGATGCTCCCAACATGACTCCTGCGTCACCGTGTTGTAATAGTAAACTCGACCTGAAGCGAAGAGTAAAAATTACGTCGAAAAATTAGGTCTTTGAACGCACTGCGGTCGGCAGTGATCGCGATGTGGTTATTCACCTTCGGAATCCTCGACGGGCATCCATGGGGGAGGAAGCGCAGCTTTGAGTGCACATTGCGCTATCCACAAGAGATCATCCTCCGCGGGCAGCCTGATGCCTATGTGTTCCGCGAAAGTTCGAACGTCTGGAAGAACAGAAATTTTATCCCGTGTATACGCGAGCTCAGGGTAAATTCTGACAATCGGATTCGGACCCCGCTAGGAGCTCCCCCCGAGACTATATCGACGGTTCAAAATCAGTCCTCAGGAGTTGGTCGGAAGAATCGCTCCGCGACCAGGGCGCCGCTCTGAATGTCCTTCGAAAATACTCATAAAGGGTCAAAGAGCCCGATCTGCATTCGATCAGAGCTCTCGACGAGAGACGATTCCCGGATCGCAGCCAGAATCTCGGGCTCACCTTCGTCGGGGGGAGGCTCATCACTCAGAGCCGTCGTCTCCTTGAGGAGTCTAGCCGTTCTTCGTGAGGCGTTCGACATTCGAAATCACGGTTTTCCCGTCTGTCCACTCAAGCTCAACGTCGATTTCACGAAGTTTCAAATGCTCCACGCTCGATCAGACGACTTCGACCTTCGACGTCGCGCGAGCTGGTCATCCCGAACTGATTCCGTCGAAGTCTATCAATGTTTCGCAATTGGAGCACGTTTGTGAATTTTCAAGCCTCCACACGATGTCAATTGCTCAGCCACCTCCCTTTTAGTGTACAGCAGTTTTGAACGAACGAGTAGCAGGCCATTGACATGTTGTGTTGTGTATTGTACGGGTGAGGCCTGACGCCATATTGGTCCCTCGCTCATGGAGCAGCACCTGGCAGGCGCCCTCCCGCTCCGCGTCCCCAGAACATACGGATCGGGGCCCAATGAGATAACTCGGCAGACTGTCTCGGAGCCAAGCGGGAAATGGTCTTACCGGCCATTTTCCTTCTCACTCAGGCTGTGATTCCCTTGCGGGTTACGCAACGTGTGTCCGGTTGATCGGGGAATTCGGATTTCAGGCTCTTGACTGCGCAAGAATCCCTCAATGACAAATCTCGCGGGGTCCAGAGAATGGAGTTCCGATATGAGGGGATATAAGCATAACATCGGATTTCTGGTACGCTGATACGATGAGCCGGATCTCTGCCACGCATTTCGAAGCTTGCTGCTCGGCTGAGTGAGTGAGCTATTCCGCAGAGCGAGCTCGATCATTAGGAGCCTTTTCACTCTTACTATCCAAAGATAACGAACGTAATATTATGCCGAGAGCATCGCCCGAGAGATCATCTAGCTCGAGCACCCGAAACAAAATACCACCGCCCTCCTCCAGGGACAGATCCGGCGTTCCACACATACGCTGGGATGAGGATAATATCAAAGCGACGTACCACCCACCAGACAAGGTAGATTTTGCTCCCAGATGATTTCGTCCGAAGAACTCAAGAAACAGGCTGTCTCGGGCATTATTCATGCGATGGTCTGCTAGTCCTCCTCATGGATCGTTCCGCCGGCATACGCAGTCCAAACGAACGAATGAATCTTGCTCTCTGCAAGGAACAATGTTTTTGCATTCTAGCCAGAGCATCGATACTCCGCTGCTCGTCCTGAGCGCGGTATGAAACCGAGTCCGCGGTTTCAAAGTTCGCCGTATTTCCATCGAATGACGCTCTGAAATTTTTCTCGTGCAGGATTACGGCTTCATGACGATCGATGAGCCTAAAACGCCTTTCGAAAGACCTCCGGAAAGTGCGAAGCAGCTGCCTCTAGATTTGGAGGAGCTGCGGGAAAAGCTGACAAACCTCTCCGCCGTTTCGAAGAAGAAAGAGGTAATTCATTGATGGAGGGGACGTCGAAGGCCGTTGATCAAATCGGAAATGTTCCTCCTAATCTCAGCGCGGGGACTCACAGGTGGATCGTAGGAGCAAGTTTGAAGAGATGCGACGCCAACATTACGCGGGGATGGCCAAGGCAATATTTCAGACGAAAGATCCTCAAGTGGAGGCCTATCTGAAAGAAGCGTGCGAGCGATGTAAGAAGCCGACCGACAGGAAGAAATCTCAGGATGGTTCGAGAAAACCGGACAAACGATGACAGTCCTTGGATACGAGCGGAATACACACACTCGTTTTGGCGGGAAATTGATCATGAGCGAGTAGACTAATTGTAAGAGGGACTCCATTATAGAGCATGAAAGGCTCTCAGGAGGTTCCGAAAGTAGTCTCTATTCCTGCGTAGACGGGACTCTCTCGACGATAAGGACGGAGTATTAAGAGTTATCCTCCGCTCGAAGGATCATGGATTACCATGACCCTCCGAGCGGCGGACGCGAAATCGAGTCCTCACGTGGTCGGAGAGTCACCAACGGAGCAGGAGGAAATCCTCAGAGCGAACTCACGTGGCGCCTGACTGGGACTCGCGGGGGCGGGGTCTCCTGGGTCCCGTTTCGAGACATTTTGTTCGCGACTCAGATCTAGGTCTCGGGGTGTTCCGAAACCACCTATCGCTTCGAAGGAGCTCCGAATGAGCGCCAATACTTTTTCGTACCCGCGATTTATATGTCAGGGGAGAAAACAACCGGTCGACGAGATCTCATCTGTCAATCCACCTGATCAACGATTGGTGCCGCTAAGTCTGAATCGAGAAGGCTCGAGTGCACGCAATTCCGCTCGCAAGGTCGAATATCAACAGAGATCATCTGAGGACCTCTTCTGGACGCCGCAACGGCTGAATGAGCTACGCTCAGAGTCCCCGGGAGGGCAGGGGAATCTACGTCGAAACAGAGCTGCAGGTCCACATAGGCTGGAAGGGGAGAGAAAGAGCGAAAAATTTATCCTCTATCGCGATGCAGAGCGAACCGAGCGCTTCGGGCGACGAGCACGTAGTTCCGACTTCAGCTTCGAGAAAACAAATAATTAAGCCGTCGCGACGGCCCTTGGTCTGCGCTTCCGGTTCGTGCTACATACGTACAAAACGCGGAAGAGGGACAGAGTAGCGGTATCTGTTGAAGCAAGCACTCTTGCCATGAAGAGCAGCTTCCCGCAGAGAAGATAAGCTCCATCGTCGGACTCACAATGTCCGAAAGACGAGGACCATGGAACACTGGTCAGCTCGTCTGCAGGGCGCGGGAGAGGGCTACATGTGTGGACAGCGGTTTGCACAAGCGTAGCATAGGCTCTGGTAGGAAGCAGCGCGGAGCCTACGCGGATGTATCGGAACGCAACAAATCAACCCACTCGTTGACAAGAACCAAATCGATCCGTGGAAACCAATGCCGAAACCAACGCTTCGGGCGAGTTTCGGCCCTTTTCCTCGAGGAGAGTAGCGTCGATGCTCGCAATCGGATGAGGATTCACATCGGAACCATATCCTCACATTTTCACATGCAACTTCAGGAGACCAGGAGTCATGCTCCGGCGTCGCAGAAGCTTCACCGAGGAATCGCACCAGAAGTCCTGCCGGGGAAGCTGGCAGGAATGCTCGCGGGAGCCCTTACGGAGATTAGTCGTGGGAGTAATAACTATTGGCTCGATCTCTCAGGATGGTTCGGGGACTTCCCGACCTCCTCGTGTGTCAGCCGTAAGTCCGGGACGGCCAATGCGAATGTCCCCTGACCACAAGCTCATCGAGTCAATTTCCCATGCTTTCCATTAGGTCTCGAACTCTCAAAAAAGCCACTTAATTCCGTCGACTTGTCTTTGAGGGTACGAGAGTTAGCTCGATGGGGGAAGACTCAAGTGTACGCGCGAAGGAATAGTCAATGCTTCATCAAATCATTACTCTCGCCCCACAGGGGTCCTATCGAGAATCATGCTCATTCCCTCTTTGTGTCGAATCGAGACATTGCTTTAATCGAGACATCGGAGACGAGCTCCGTTCTTGCTGAACGGGTGGAGACGAGCTTCTTAGGGGGGAAACAGGCTGCGCAGCGAGATTCATTCTCACTCGATGCGCAGGAGAAGGATGTTGGCAGAGCCGCCTCCGATCTCCTCTAGGATTGACATGGTGCATTTGACAGCTGATCCCGCTTCTGTGACTCAGTTTCAACAGCGGTCTTGGAGAGGACGGCCATCCCGGTCCGAGATATTCCTAGGGAGGGAATGAAATTCGGCAGAGCTCTAGTCGTGGCCGTTGCTCGAACCTTCCGACGACAGAAGCTCCAGGCTAAACCAACGATTCTTTCGGAAAAAAGTTCTTCTCTCATATCATTCGTCCGGTTCAATGCTCCGGTCCTCTGTGCTGATTGTGAGCGTCTGGGGCTGGGATCCTCAAGGACGGATCGCCGGGTCGTTAGAGCGGTCTCTTCACCATTTGCATTGACCACCTTGATGGTATGTCCCGGGCCGGTGCCGCCGGTGGCCGCCTCATTTCCGTGCTCTGCAAGATAGATCTCCGAAATCCACTCTGTAGCGGGCCGATCGGAACAAGGAAAATATAATAGAATCTTGCGGATTACGGATGAATTCCGGGAAGCGCGAATTCGGGAAATGCTAAATCCCCAGCTATACTTCTTCAGAAGAATCTCTCATTTCAGCTCACCGAGGGTAAGCTGGTATCTCTCGCTCAGGAAACTCAGGATCAGGAAATTCCAGGGCTTCCCCCGACCGAGGAAAGCCTTTTCAATGCCCGGAACGCAGCGCTTACCGGAGTGCCTCAACGGTGCACCCAGCGTTCGCCTTTTCCATGGTCCTCCGCAGCTTCCTACCGGCTGTCTGTACTTGCGACAGCAATAACTCAACACCTATTAAGATCGACGTACCGCTGCCCTTATGTGGGGAAAGGGGAACTAGAGCCTGCTTCTCCCACGCGTGACTTGCGTGAGCTGGTACCTAGCCACTGGCCAGTTATTTTGATTCCTTATAGCCGTATAACGTTCATTTGTGGGAATGAGCTCTTCCGAATCGGAAACATGAACAATACCTCGTGCTGTCGAGAACTCGGATGTTTCACATGGTCTTCAATTGAGAAACAATCTATGAGCTTATACATGTGTTTTTGAAGATGGTATTTTCTCAACCACGCGAAATTCACATCCTACTGCGCAATGATCATGCTTTCCGAGAGCTGGCCGGCATAGAGGCTTGTGGGATGATGCGGAGCCATCATTGTTCTCGGTGGAAGAGACCCTTCCGCGGCTCCTTGCGATGAAGCCTTCGTACGGCGTATTGCTTCGAAATGGGACCTGAAGTCCGAAAGCTCAGCCGGGAGTGCCGACTTACTTCCTCCTAGCAACCTGACTGCCAATCACTCAGCACCCAAGCAAACTCGGGGATTTCGAACTTCCCAAGTTCACAGTCTGAAACTCGCCCATTTCCACCCGGTGACATGTTCTTTATTCCTTTTCGGGAGGCACTGCGGAGAAAGAAGTAAAGGTTGTCGACAAAGGGTTTCGATAAGCCGTGAAGACCTGTCCAAGTTCCCAACGATCTTCTTTGCCACGGAGCTTACGCAAATCGCTTTCATCCCCCCACTCTATAAAACGCGACAATGAAGCCTAAAATGTTTTGTTATTTGCACCAATTTGACACTCTTGCATTGGTCCCATGAACACATCACAAAAGCGTGTCCGGGTGTGTATACCTCTCCTGTA